ACTGATTGCAGTGGTCCAAGGCAACGACACGCGTTTTTGTGCGCTTTCTCAATGCGTTTCCAACTACGCACAAAATTGGGCACTTGTAGATCTACGCAGCAGTGTCTGCGACCACAGTGTCGTTCCGAGGTCATCCACAGTGCCAGACTAGCGCCTCTTAGCCGACCTCGCCACGTGTTCAGGGTCTGTGCAGTCACGGTTGCGGGTCTGTTTGTGCGTCGTTGTTGTGGTCGTTATCCATCAGTTGGGTCATCCATCGGCAGCGTTCGTGTTGGTTTTGCAGCATCTGCCTTAGCGACAACCTCCACCACACTAACCAACCGAATCACGCTTTTCACAATTACCATACCACTTGTTGGCAGAAGGACAACAACAACACCAACCCAAAAATTCTCCATCCGATTTACAAATCGGTGTCCGAAATTAGATGTATTAGTGAGTAATGAAGTTGAGATGACGTCGTCGGCTGCGGGTCATATCGTGTGTGGCCAGTATAATTTGTGGTAGCGCGCTAGTTTCTCACCAGGCGCTTTTTTGTGCCACCGTGGAGTCACCCGCCTTTCAAACTGACTAACCAATCGAGTCGAAGCTTGCCTGCGTCCTTGGTACACCCACTTCCAGCACATTTATTTGACCTTTTCAATTGGCTGCTAAAAATACTCCTTCAAAACCAGCGGACTGTCCGCCTGATGCAAAAATTAACCAATTAGGAGTTAAATTGTGTGGTTTGTCTGTCGTTTTATCCTGGACCACAGCTGTCTACCCGTAGGTACACGTATTCTACGGACTTTTTCCCTGTCTGTGCGCTTTACCTACTGTCTTGACTCTTTCAGGTTTTGACTTTTTAGTTACGAGTCACAGCCTGCTGCCTCTCCGGTCCCAATTTTGTTAGATTCTGTGCTTGGATGCAGGCACCTTTTTCTCCGGAAGACGATTAACAACTTCCAATCCAGTTGTTGCTCATGCGTTTAATTGTTCCAGTGTGAAATACATTTTTTGTAGGCACGTGGGATATGCTGTTGGCATGGTGACTCACCCCCCAGCACCATCTCCACCCCTTTGAGGTCAAGTGGCGATGCCACGGTCACCGCCTCACACCTCCCCATATCTGATAGACCCGAAATATTCAGGTGGGGGCTATCGCCATGTGGTCGCTGTCGGACAAACTTTTGACACCATGGCACACCACACACTCGTGCCTCCGCCTCACCTTATCACCTTTTCCCGCATCTTTACGACGCTGTACCACGTTGGTGCTCAATTTTGTACCCTCCACAACCCGCAAATGCCAGGTTTTCTCTCCTGGGATTGCCGTGTCCCCTTTGCAGGCGTTTCTTGCGGCGGTGTAGATAAGCAATCGGTAGGGTAATTGCTGCGAACACGTCTCTTACCGCTTATACACTGTCCCATCCTCTTTGGTCTGATTTATTGCGCATTTGCGCCACAAACATCCCCTTTTTGATCAATTAGTAGACACGGTGGCTGTTTTTGAGTCATAAGCATGCTAAAGCCCGCATGCAAACGCACTTAGAGCAAAGGGAGGCGGGTGTAATTTGCACGTCCCCTTTCTCGACAGTCAAAAAAGTAGGCGGAGGTTTTACTAATTCAGGTGTCTAGCAGTCGGCGTGATTCACAGCATCGAAGTTTGAGACAGCTGTTTCTTTTTCTGCTGAAGGATCTTGCGCTGCGCGTCAAGTTTTTTCTCCGCCTCTCTCTCTCTCCTGGGGTTCTGAACAGTCCATTAGCTGCGGCTTTTCATCAGGCACCTTCAAAGCTGCTTGCATTTTAACTTTGAACGCGTTTTTAGGCGTCTTTCGCCTGTGATGTGCAAAAGCGAAGCTTCTAGCATCGTAATGAGGCTGTTTCTGTCGTGTGCGCGCGATTTTCCGTATAAATCACTTTTTTTAAAATTGGAAATGACGAGTAATGTGTCCTCTCGCGATGGGGACAGTTCTCTGGTCTACCTACGTGTCTTTTCGTCCTCCCGCGCAGTTGATTGGTTGATCAGTTCGACTTAACTGGTTGAAAAAGGCGCCCCATGCAATTTAAATAAGTCAAGTGCGCTGTCCAGTTGGTTTGCGCAGTTTAAAACAAGCGGCTTGCTCCAATGTGATTGACTTTGAACGCAATCGCGCCAATTCCATTTCAACCTGAAGTGTTTGAAGAGAATCGTTAACTGAATCTGGTACTAGTTATTAATTCTCCATACCTTCGCCGCTGAAAATGTTCTTCCAGCTCCGGAGATGACAAAATACAGCGCTGTTTTCTGTCTTCTGCAGTTGTCTTCGTTGGCGTCATTGTGGACGCTTAGGCCACCAATCACGATAGCCGTTGAAATCCGCGGCAAAATCAAACAGCCTCCGATCACTTTCATGCGGCCAATGAAATCGCTCGGTCCCCAAAAACCTTACATTAGAACAATGTTTGATTCCACCGTAGGGTTTTAACAATTGCATCCCAGGATAGTTGTGCCTGCTGGCAGAACAATGCGTCCAGCCGTGATCGGCGCTTTTTGTAGACCGTCTGCTCGCAAAAAATGTATCGATATGGACTCCACTGCTCGGTATTGGTTGAAAAACCTACTAACAGGGATTTTGCAATTGTTCGTATTTCTTGTGTGTTTAAATCTCGTGTATAAACACTTGAATCTTCCTTAAAATGTACTTCGATGTGGTGGTCGTGCCATTCACTGCCAAATGCTCGTTCTTCCTTTGCTGTGAAGACCACTGTTGAGTGCAATGACGGCAACTTCGGCACAGTTATCAAGATGTGCCCTGGTTCCCTCTAAATATGCCGTTTTGCCGCAGCCACGAACATCCACTCAACAACAGCCCGTTTCAGTTGCGTACACGTTTGTCTGAGTGACTGGCCGGTCCACTTCGTTGTGACTGCGATCTGACTGGTGTTCGCCCACCAAACTGCTTTCGTTCAAATGAAATTGCGCCTTGTCTGGCGAATGTGTGCGAGCGTGTGTGTGTGTGTGTGTACATGCAGCGACAGCTGTTCCGTGTGTCATTCTGGTGCGGGCTCCTGTGTTGTGGGAAGTCGACTGTGCTGTCGACGCGCCCTGCGCTCCACGCTGCCCCATTTCACCTGGAAAAAAGCGTGATTCAAGCATCGGACGATGTTGCAAGTTGCATTCTATTCCCTGCAACCCTCCTTATCACAGCGCACAACATCGATCCACACAGGTTTACCATCTAGACACCACTTCAAGGTCACACCTGATTCCCAGAAGGGCCTTTGTGGGCCAATTGTCATCGATCAGTTTAGAAACGATCAATTAGCGACTTATGAAAGTACAAAATAAGGCAACGTTTTCTTGCGAAGTTCTCCGCAATAGTCGAGCTATTGAGTAAACAATTTTCTGCCCCAAAACGGATTAAATCGCGCGTAGGTTTAAATGTTGCAAGCGAGGCATGTGTCATTTTTGTTCAAGGACGTGGACCCAAATTGTTTAATGACCGTTTTCGAGATTTTCACTCATTTTCGGTCGGAGTATAATGGGGAGGTCCCTGTGGGGTAGCTTTTTTAAAATAATATCGAGTGGTGGAGTTCATTTCGGTACATTTTTTGCGAATGAATAGCCTACAAAAAGCGCCAATGACGACTCGACGCGTTATTCTGCCAAGCACAACTATCCTGGGATGCAAGCATTGTTCTAGTGGAAGATATTGTGGGAATTGAACGAATTCATTGGAAGTTGTTTGAATTTACAGCCAATTCTGACGGCTATCGTGATTGGTTGCTTAAGTGCCCGCAAGAACGCCAACAAAGACAGTTACTGCAGATGGTAAATGTGGGAGATGGTGGCGTCAAAAAAATGTCATGTGGCGTTCCCCGGACCTCGAGTGTAATTTGAAGTGAGAGGTATATAATTGCTTCTACAAGATACCGCGAGTAGAAATGATATCTCAAGACCGTTCCAAACAAGGTAATTTTGTGGAAGTTAAACAAAGCCCGATTGAAGCAAGTTGGAGGCCAACTAAGCAGATGTGAACATTTTAGGAATGCATTTGTTTATTTGTTTAAACTGTCGTCAGTGGCGATGATGGAAGGTGCACCCCTCGTTGTAACTCCAACACCTAAATTCATCGCGTCAACGCCTTGCCGTACTCGGGTTTCAAAGCGACTTCAGCGTTGCAGAGCTGTTGTATTCGCAGATCACCTACTAACTCGTCAGTAGTCCCAAGTGGTACGGAGTGACGGCTTCGTTTGCCCAGGCAAAGCTGCTGTCGTCGATTGAGGACACTGGTTATGTACTCTTTTAATTTGATTGGTCAGAAGAATTAATTAATTTAACGAGAAATTCGCGCCTTCTCAAGGTTTGGCGGTAAAATTAATAATTCATTTCCCCCCAAATGGTTTAGTCAAATTGCCAAAAGAAGCTACTGCTGCAATTACCATTCTTTTTGCATCTTCTTTTTGATTAATTGGTTGAGATGTCATTAGTCATTTAGTTAAACCGTTAAACTTAGCGCGTATTTCGACCAATCAACGCGCAGCATCAAGCTCCTTTCAACCGCACAGTGAACATAAACTATTTAACTTGGTACGTATTGCGCAAACTATCACATTTATTCCCAATTAAATGGGTTTTGTTTTAAGAAAAGGTCATTATTAATTCTTGTATTCGAGAATCGTAAATTGCTGAGAGTTTGTCCGTTAAATTACCAATTTCCCAACTAATGCCTTTCTGCTTATTGGCGGAAATTCGTGTTTTTTTTTAATTTTTGAAGATTCAAGCTCGCCCCACCCCGGTAAATCGTTCACCATGAATTGGTTTGCGTGTTTCGGTCGTTTATCGAAGGTGCTGGCTGTGTCACCATGTGTTCAACACTAGTTATCGCTTTTTTTACATCGGAAAGGAAATTTTCCAAACAGACGTCCAATCAGACGTCCTTGGCATTGTTCCAAACGCATCCCCAACTCAGTACCCGTGTTCAAATGATCTCACCAACTCCGCGCACGACACTACGAGGTCAATAAGAATTCGTTGAATGACGGCTGATCTTGAACTTCAGGAAGATGCTATTCCACCCCGTATTTCTCCTTTACTTATTCAAAAACCCACTTCCGGTGTTTAAATTTGTTTGAACAGACTCGTTTTTTTCTTACTTTCGATTTCTCGATTTCATTTCGCTTTTTGTTGATGCAATGTGCGTGTGTAATAGTCCCCACTAGTAGCAGTCGTGCGAAAACTGATCCATTTATGCAATATCATCGAAAGTTTCGTTGTAAAACCTCACCCACACGACAAATTTGACGTGTGTGTACTACAAATAACGGTCGTGCAGAAATCGGTTCACAAATGCTGTCTTGGTAAAACTACGTGTAACGGCTGTTCCAAGTGTTTATTCCTTACAATCCTCGAGTGCGTAGACCTCCCAATAACCTCGGTCTTTCGGGATGGGTTGGGGGGGGGGTATTTGATGCCTCCCTAACCATCACCACATCGGCAAAGGCAATTATCTTCAAAGTCCGCATAAACACTCACCTTTGTGCACATTTCTAGCCTTATTGTCGAGTGAGATAAGTGCCGCATACTTGACTGTTAACAGCTTACGGTCAAAACACTCCCCCTCAACCTATCATTTCGCCTTACATGCGCTTGGGAAAGACGCTTTACCTTAGGAACAAGCAGGTTGTAATGTTGATTTGGGTATTTTTTTTCAGGTGGTCAAGTCCAGTCGGATAACCTAAAACTCGCCTCCGCGGGGAGTATATTTCTGGCTACCGGTGGCACAACCAGCTCGAGTAGCCAGAACTCGTCGCTGCACAAGGGCGCCGGTGAGGCACACATAACGTCTGAGGGCAACGTGGAGGGGGGTCACTGCGTGGAAGCGGGAGACGGCGGTGTCCAGACAGGTGACGCCTCCCTCCACAACGACGATCCCAACTCCGTCTCGCCCTACGCCAGCACCTCGCTCATCGAGCAGCTTCGACGTGGCAGCGGTCGAGGCACCTTCCCCGACGTCATTCCGCCTCCCCCGCGCTACCCCCCACCCCCGGTTCCGCCCGACTCCCCTCCCGCCATCCCAGGCGGCGGTGGGGTCGCCTACCACCAGACCACCTACACTCCCGACGAGTGCCACTACGCGCAGAGCGATCTGCAGAAAACCGAGGAACCGCCGTTTGTGGGCGCCTACAGCACCACCCTCAGCGGGGCCTACATTCCTGGCCCGCCCCCCAGCTACCCACAGGAGCAGTACTGGGGCAACGGCGCGCCTGGTGTCATGTGCTACATGCAGCAACCCGTCGTCACGCTTTCCGGTCAGAGTAAGTACACTCATCACTGCGTCCCCAGTCAAATAACCACCCCCCCAGGCTCTATGTATGCTGCCAGGGAATAGCGATTTGTCCCTCCGTTCGGTCTGCTTCACTGATGATGCTAATTTGAAAAGATGCTTTAAAACTGCCTCTCCCTCTCTCCAGTCTCCATACCTACTGACGCGCTGTCATATTTTGATGTGACAGTTCTCAGGTGTTTAAAGTAGGCAAGAGAGCTATATTTGGAGTCGTGAGTATGTAATTCTTTTGCGCAGTGCCTTAAATCTCCTTAGCAGAACAACTTAATGTAAAAAAAAAAACAACTTAACACGCATAATCTCCCCCGCGCTAAGGCCAATTTTATGTGTTGTTTTTCTGCAAAACAATCAAGATAAACTCTGCCAAGTAAAAAAAAAACCATCTGTTAAAACCAAAACACGACGGGATTCTGCGATTTGACGTGTCCGTCGTAAGATACGCTGTTTACGCTAAAAAGGCCTCTCCGACATCACGCTGTGTTCTCAAAGGCCACACTATTTGGATAAAAAAATATTCACATTCCAGCCGAGTTTGTCGTGTGTGTTTGCCTGAAAACCTATCCCTCAAGTCTAACACAAGACGACAATAATTCCTCCTCTTCGTCTTCCCCCAAATCAGAGTTTTATCTCTTCTGTGACTACGACTAGTTGCGGAATATTTGCTTAATTTGGATGCACTTGCCCAATGGCAAAATCGATATGATCATGTTCGGCTAATTCTAGATTTGATTGGTTAAATTCCAAAGAAATAGCATCTTTTGCTAATCTGACACATTACTATTCCTGTGCTGAATTTATGAAGACTTAACGAGTCACTAGATCTGTAGAAAAAAACGCTGCACTTTATTCACAAATTCGCTTCGATAAATTCTTCTTTTAAACTCCAAACTATCGCGCGAAATCGAAAAAAATATAAGATTTGAACTAAATCGCGAGTTGATTGTCCCCTAAACTTAACACCAAATTGCAAAATAACAAAACCACGTTGACTGTTCCCTTGGTGTTCCTAACCTTTGCGTCTAAATTGGAATTCTTTTTAAGAAATTTGGATCAACTTCGATTGACATAAGTGATCATTTCAGCATTCGCTTATGTGGGCACGAGTTAAAACTATGGATAAATTCAGACAAGGGAGCGTTCAATTTTCTAGTTTATAGTATTAGTGGTAATGCTGGGAAATGTCTTTTGTCGTAGTTTTAGTGCTGAATGACAGCAATTAGGCTTCTTGTTGACACGTGAGTTTTAGCCAAGAGGCTTCTTTAATCCCAGATCAATATCGCCTAACGTTAGCCAATCAGATTTCTGGGAGCTGGATGGTTTAACTACGGTGTCCCGTGTCGCTGCCTTCCTTAGTATTTTAGCGAATCATCTTTCGTGTTGATCGCCATGAATTTTTTTGGCTCAAACCACTAAATCCGGGCGATCTAAATGCCCTAGGGACAGGACCACGTCAAATTTCAGATCTGCTCAGTGATTGGACGACCAGTTAACTCTCAATTTTCCGTCAACTGGATCCGCCACTGCTGTTGGCAGCTAGCCAAACGCATTGGTTTAGTCGGTGGCGTTTTCTCGACGCCGTGGATGTTGGTTTTCGAGCACGTTTTGTTGTAGTTGTGTGTGAATTTTCGTCTCCACAATTCCTTGTCCAGAAGTAACAACTCTGCCGCTAAAAGTATTCGTTTAGTGTGTGAAGGAGTTGTAAGGAGTAATAAACGAAGCCAACGCGCCGGAATCAACTCACCAACTGGTATTAGTGACCTCGCGAGGCGAAGTCAATTAAAGAACCTGCAAATTGCGAGGGAGAAAGACGGCGGTGGTGGCGGTGGCATTAACGTGACCCTTCATAAGCCTATCAAACACCTCATTAGCGTGTGCGCGTACACTGGCTTTAACTCAAAGCGACAGAATCGTCCTGCCTTGTATTCCAGCGGCGACAGCAAATCCCCACGCTTGTAAAACGCTTTTTTTCGTTGCCTTTTCTCCGCGAAATACATCGGCCGACGGTTTGATGATGGTGGTGATGAGGAGGAGGAGGTGGAGGAGGAGGAGAGAGGAGTAAGCAACAACTCTGCCACCTCCCCACTCCCAATCTATTTGATTAGGCGGCCAATCGGCCAACAGCTTGCCAGTTTTCCAGTACACTACCTTCTGTATCCACTGCCTTTGTCGCGACGATCGGTTCGAACAAGTTTCCAGCGCCTGTCTGAAATCGTGCCAAACATCGCAGCGGTGGTTGATGCCACTTGGCCAGGTTTGAAAGATGTGGTCTGATTAAGAAAATTCAATCCAAACTAAATACCAACAATTGGTCATCAAACAGTTCTGTAATATCGCGTGGAATCGCCGCGAATTCGTCTTCAAAGACCTCTGAAAAAACGCAAATTCTCTACAGAATCCCCAATTGAGGACGGTTGGATGAGTCGACGGTATACTGTCCATTCGTCAGCACGTTCAATGGTAGAAATCAGCGTCGTTGTACCTCGTCGATGTATGCATGTAGAAGTGCACGATAGTACATTTTCTACCGGTAACTGAACTAGTCCATCTTATCATTTGGAAACTTATCAGTAAGCGCCGATAATCTTCCTGTGGAATTCTGTTATTCCAGAGATAGACCAGCTCCTACATTTCAAGTTCGTTGATATCGCAACAATGTAAGGAAAATTCATTCGCCTTCCATCTGCACCTTCACACTGACATGTACCGTCCACGGACCTTCATGTTCATGAACATCACCGGAATATCGCGCTTGTGGCAAGACGTTTCCTTCAAAGAGAAACTGTGTCGGAGGCGATACCGTGGCGTTCATCTTTTCACTTTACCATTCAACTCACATAACGGAAAGGCTGAAAATTGAACAAAAAAACGGACGTGGGAATGACGCGACTTATGGCTGGAAATAGTGGAAGGTGGTCACTCAATTTTAGCCAACACGACCGTCTTTACTCCGCGGTGATGGATACGCATCGCACTTGGCGGTGGGCACTAAGGGCGCGTTTGTTTACGCTACTGTTTGTACGCGAACCTACAACCGAGTGTATAAACAATGCACACGACTACGCGCCTTGTTTGTGTTTGTACTTCTCTCTACTTTTTTTTCTCCGTAGAAAATCTCGTCTAAACGCAGCACACGAGTTCGCGGTGAATGCAAGAATGCGTCCCTACGACCTCAAAATCGGTCCCCCTACACACTGTTTCGAAAGTTCCGGTGTCCTCGTCAGTTGTGTTTGTCGGTGTTGTTGTTTTTTTAACCAGAGCGGCAAAATTGCTTGGCCTTTGCTATTTTGCGTAACCCTGGCAACGTGCCTTTTTATTTAACCGACGTTCCAGCTATTCTACCACCTGAGGTAATGCGTCTAACGTTGAATGCAAAAATATTGTATATTTGCTCTGCGTTGGAGCGTTTGGTGCATCGTTCTATGACCGGTACAACTGTCAACACGATAATCCTTTGCGATACCCAGTAATTTTCTTGTCTTTACAGAAAACAATTTGCCGTTTTTGCACACTCCATTAAAAACGAGGACAGAACCCAAACGACCTTTTCACTATAGTAATAAAATGTTTTTTTTTTGTAAAAAAAACTAGATGGAGCCCTCTACATGCCGCACATGATGGCGAAAGGTCTGGGGGCAATGCAGCCGTCGATGCCTGCTGCACCCACCTTCATGACACAACAACGCGGTCCTCCCTCCTACCACCACCCCGCGCCACCAATCACCGGCGACCATCAGGCGATGATGTTGATGATGCAGCAGCAGCAGCAGTCTGCTCATCCGATTTCAGTTCTCGCGGACGACGTGGTTCTCCCCACCTCGACACTGACCCACCCCAATCGAAGCCACCACGTCCCACCGCTGACATCTCCAATCCACGCCGACAACTGAAGCCACCTCATACCTGCATTTCTGCCTCATTCTGTCTTATGCATTCCGTACGCCCCTCCCCTCCTTCACCCTTAAGCGCGCGCACTCACGTACGCACGCACACACAACCTGTCCCACCGTCCGCACAATTTGCGCAGAGAGTAGCGGTGTAGAGTGGGTGCGTGCACTTATTTGAGTTCGTCTCCTTGTCCAGGGTATTGCTGACCTCCTGGTGGCCCCCTGTGAGTCCATTGTGACCCCCCACCCCCCTCCACCCAATTCCCGCTGTAGTTGTGTACTGACATCCGACTCTGACGGCGACAACGACATTGATGATAATGATGATGATGACAATGCAATCACTGACTGCGCTTTGCTATTTATTCTGATGTATTCTCATGTTTTCTGTCTCGATGGTGATTGATAGGTGTCACGCAGTGGAGATCCTTGTGCTGGAGTAATCATTTCGTTTTAATCGAGAAAAGACATTTTGACGATACTCATGTTGTCTTCCGTTCCTACTTGGATTTGTGGTTGCCTGGCCAACATAACTGGGGCGCGGTAATTGGGGTTAGACCCAAAATTTTCCAATCTGTTTTGTGGTATCCGTCAGACTTGGGAAGCCCACTTCGAAGCAGCTGCTACCCACGAATTCCCGCCTGTGCTATCTGTGTAATAATTGTCTTGTTAGGATCACTCCGTCTATACTCAACTCAGATAATAACCATTTTGAGCTAAAAGGTCACATAACTCACCTTAAGGGATCAATAATATCGACTTATTGAAGAAGAACCGCTTAATCACTGGAAAGGGTGTGCAACCGTATACAAATAAGTCAATTGTCGTGTCAGAAGACCTTAATATATGGGATTTACTAGTCCAAAATGAAAACACGGTAATTTGACCACGCGGAAACACATTTTTGGCAAAAATTTGACCTTTGAGTACGAGTAAAGAGGCATCGTCTCAAAGTTGGCTAACTTTGGAAGAAAAAGAGGGTGCTGTCCAATACTCGCTTCACTTAGAAGCGAGTGAAAATGCAGACCAGGCCCTGGAATTAACTGGATTCCATTATGGACTAAAAACGCCTTAAACAATTTTGGCTAGAGCAGAATGAAAAATTAGTACCCTGGTTAAAAGCTTTCCTCGCGTTGACGAGAAATGATGTGCGGGACAGGGTGGGGAAGCAGTACTTTCCTCATTGGTTGGACCAAATATCGCCCAATGCTTCAGCGGTAGCAGTTCACCCCAAAACCTCATATCCACCCCCTCCCCCCTGGTCTAGTTACCTACCGCAAAGTCCAACGGCAGAGGCAGTTAATAGCAAATTCAATCATCCCCGTGAGTTGTATTTGTGTGTGCATAAATGTAAGTACATGCGTGAAGTGGATTTGCCCTCACACGGAGCTAAAGGCAATCTCTGTAGGCTTGCTATTGAGTTGCTCAGCCGTTGGACGAGTGAGGCTGCAGTAGTGGTGGCGAAGTAGCTTTTCTCGTGGGCATGCGTGGCCGAGGTTGACCTAGAACCGAGATTCACCTTATCGTAGATGACGTTTACCGAACAGAATCTTATTACAAGCTGACGCTGGTAATTTCGGAATTGGAATCTCCAAAATGTCGAATCCATTCTCTCAATTGATCACGACTTTTACCTTGGCAAACCTTCAAAGAGGCCAACCGGATCGACTGGCCGGTGATGACCGACTTTTTTTGCGGTCGTAACGAATAATTTGTAAATTTAAACACTTTTTGTCAAGGCGGTCGCGGTTTGGAACGGTTGTGTGTTTACGCGATGGTGATGGTACTGAGTGCGACTATGTGGTCTTTACACTAAACCACATTTTTGGATTCCAGCAATGTTGTCGGTTTGGGTCAATTTTGATAAGAAAAGTGCGTTGCAGAATAGTTATAAACTTCGCCTCATGTCTTTTGCAGTTAGATTTTAATTTAATGCAAAGGATTATAGTGGCTTGCTACTGTCCGGATTGTTAAATAGTTTGGTGAAACAGGCATACACGCATTAAACTCACCACCACCACCACCACCTCCTCCTCCTCCTCCTCCACCACGACCTCCTCCTCCACCACCACCAGATTTTGTCAAAGTTTATTATAGTACCCTCCTTTTCGTTAACACGATCTTTTAATCAACATCGAATGCCGTAATTCGTGCCACGCTTTTGCGAATCCTGAACTCTCATTTTTCATTGGTGCGAAAGCGGAGGCCTTGGTCAACACTTGTCTGTCACCCTGCCAGCTGGGCAAGGGAGTTGAGCCGGTGTCGTTGGGTAGCAGTTGTACCCAGCTGCAGACGTTTGAGTCATTTGTAAGGAACTAAGGGACCAATCACGAGTAGCCAATTAGGGGATTTTGATAAGACGCAGATTAGGCAGGCAGGCAGATGTGAGTGTCTAACGGCCTCCTTAGGGAAGCTGCTTATCCGTCTGACGCCTGTATCAAGTACCAGGCTGATTCTCTGCCATCTCCGCTTCTCATCATAATCAATTTTTTTTTCATACAAGAATCCATGCTCACAGATAGTGCCTCTACCCTACGAGTAAATTAATTATTTATTGCGATGTTGCAGACAGCAGACGACTGCACGATCAGATAGAGAAGGAGGAGGAAATCATCTGGCAAACGATTTATGTCGCAGAAATGCCTTTAGAATTGACAATTTAGGCGATTACAAACCTTCGTGGATGACTTTCTGTTACGTTTGCCCGTAACAATAGAGAAGACCACTCAAATAACGGTACCAGATCCCTTGCTGAAAGCTAGAACCGACCTTCCCAGGCTAATACCAGCTCGAGTAGGGAGCTTTATTCACGTCAGCCACGTGCAGAGAAGAAGTGAAATCGAAAGTGATTCAAGTCAAGGTTGACCTTGACTTGATTAAAGTGTAACAAAACAAATGTTAATAAATTAATGTAAATAGAATTAGAAACCAATCCTGGGGGATCGTGGATCCCCAACACTTTCATAGATCGCAGAAGCGTGCAATTTTGCAAGCATTAAACTTCCTTTGTTAATCATGAAATTAAATGAGTTACCTAACTGCGTCATGAGTCGGCGGAAACTTAAAAAGTAATTTCAATTAACCTGAACTTTTACCATGAAGACAAACATTAACTGCTCAACTCAAGCAGTACGCAGTCCAATTCCAAGCCAAGCCTCCAAATTCGGTCAACCGAAATAGCGTCATCGTCCATCAACGGACTACTTTACGATTTTCCTTGGTAGAAAATTACCCAGATTCATCACAGAAGGAAAATCGAAATTTCTAAAACGACGGTTGAAGGACACAGGGGGCGATAGAGCCTGTGGGATTGATCAATAATTGTTAAAATTGGTTTTAAACCGGACGCAAAATTCTTAAAACATCTTTCCTCGTAGCATTGTTATTTAAACAGCTAGTGTACTGTATAAACACCCCAGAGGCACATTCAGTGTGTTATTAGTCATTAAACAAACTCAATGCAGTATGACAAAGTGAGATGCAAAAAGTCACTAACGCCCATGGGAGTGTAGGAAGCATTCAGCAGTCAAGTGATGAGTACATTTTGGTTGATTGGTCAACGGGTGGGCTAAATGACTAACTTGAAAATAAGATGCACAGTAGAAAAAGCGGTTTTTGAGGAACCTCACTACCACTGATGCCCCAAGGAGAATGTAAAGGTCTGCGATAACGAACGCTTTGTGCTAATTAGACTGATCAGACGAGCAATGTCGGTTAATGGTCATAATCAACAGAGGTCGGGTGATATTTAAGATGCGTAGTCTGGGGTCGGAAGGCCGGATCATGTCTAGACGGAGGAGGTAGACGCGAGTTAGCACAGCTCACTGCACTACGATAGCGGCTACCCCACACGTTGTTGACATTGAGGTCAAAGGTAACACGAGCCAACTAAATCTCGTTATTTCCCATTAACGTTAAGTGGTTATGATACCTCATCGATGGCTTATTTTACTGTTGTCAACATGAAGAAAGTCACATTTCAAGCACTCAACCAGGAACTCCTTCCAGATTCCAATATTCGCCAATCGCTGGCAAACCATTTAGGTGAAATTTCGTTCAATATCGAAATGGAATCGAATAGACAAAGTGGTTTTCATTGCAGACATCGAAAACTGGTGAATAGCAACGATTCCTCGATCTAATCTCAAACGAATTTCCCTGGCGTCTTGTCTGAACGTTTAAAGTTGCAACAGTACTTGTTTTCCAGCGATTAGTTGCATCCAAATATGGGACAATATTCTGTACTTCATTCATCACCGACACATACCAATTTTTGCAAAATGCTAGAGCCCTCGAGACACCCACTTAACCGCATAAAATGTCTCCGCGTTTGTCGAATGTGTTTTGCATTCAAATTGTTATGATGCTGGTGTTAAAAGCTTTTGAGAAATGCGCAATTTCAACACGCTGGTTGGTGGGAGAGGAAGTCTTTGCAAAGATTAAAAGCGCTTCATTACTCGTGACTAAATTGAGGTGCTGAATTTTCGTGGTCATTTCTGATAAATTTTTGCACAAGTCAACTCGGTCCTTGGTGTTCCCTTCCTGCCAGTATCCGCTGCTTTGCCATTTTTGCGTTGCGTTTAGAAGAGGTTGTGATCTTTGTTGAAACATGCGACGCCTACTGTCTTTGACAAACAGGATTTTTCGATCCTACCACTAACGCGAATCATGCTGGCAGTTGTGGTAGATCAGTCACATGATCGATGGTGCATCCTGGACAAGTGGACAGTGTGTCCAAGTGGTTGGTTTCTCTTCCCACTAAAAACAGCTGCCTTGCATGCATTCATTGCATTAGTAGGCTTGCTTTCACTTGCAACTACACACCATTCTTCCACCCACCATAGGATATCTATATAGAAGAATAACGCTTTTGCCGGCTAGGTAGTTTGTCCCTCCCTAGTGTAAGTGATCAAAGCAATTTCGAAGGCGATGCTTCCTCCAACATCGATCTCTTCACACCCATTTCGATGGTCTTTCCATTTCATGGCATCAAGACGTTTGGCCTAGTTCCAATGGAAGACGTCCTTTCAACTCCATCCAAAGGATTTGTCAATTTTTTAAAACAGATGAGGTAGTAAATTGCGTCGAGATTCTGGCCAGACGGAACTAATACTTCGACGGCAACAATGGCTGCTTTACTTCATCGACAACCCTTGATTTGAGTGAACTTATTCCAAACAACAGTAACCAGGTCCTTGTTCTAGGAACTCCTGTGGTGTTTTAGCTCGAGTTTTGGTCAGGATATCTCTTGAATTCCTTCCATCGATAAACATCACTTGGGGTACACCTTATTCAATCAACAACTACCGGGAACTTGTTTGATTATGTTCACGCAAAATAAAATGCCTATCTTCCAGCACACTTTTGTCACGCTGCGCCATGCCAGCAATGCGGTTCTGGTGCCCT